ATAATATCATATTATAATATGTAAACACCGACGATCGGTTCAACCATGCCCTTTCACATGGCCGAACATGATTTTGCACATAAATATCAATCAGCCGTGAGGAATTTCGTTATAAATTCACACTAACACTTCAAATTCGCGTTTGTTGTATTTTTTTTCTTGCACAGGAAATTATTTTGCAAAACAGTGAAATAAACTTTACTCGCCATTGTGTATATGGATAGTCGTAGACACTATGCGCACTTGGTTTTCGTAGTGTATAACTACAACGGTAACATGCCGACTAGAATTTGGCCCAAAAATTAAATTACATTCAAACAGGTTTCTATAAGTTTAAAAAAAAAAAAGAAAAGAAAAGAAAATTAAAAGAAACGGAAAAAAGTGAAGTAAAAAAAATTATCGCCGTAGTCATGCAGAACTTTATCTCGGTTGTTTTGTTATAATTCCATTTCCAGAGCGCACAACGTGACATTAAATTCGTCCGAATCAAATTTCATTACACCTAATTTACTTAACAAACAGCTAACTTCATAATTACAGAGCGTAGAAATTCCTCACGGCGCTCCGGCATTGTTGTATAATAATATGATTAAATGTACGGTAAAACTTCGGCATTCCGTTGTGATATATTATTATATTTTTTCTCTCTCTCTCTCTCTCTCTCTCTTCCCGGAGGTCCTCTTGCCGTCGACCGAAAAGTGAGTGTGCAGGGTTAGACAGCTATAATATAGAGAGTGGACAAGCGGCATGGGAGCAAGGGAGAGATGATAATTGAGTTTTGGTTCTTTTAATGGAAGTCTGGGAGACCATATTTGGAAATTACACCAGAACACGCACGTCATGCAGCCCGTCATGTCCGGCTAATCAGATTACCTGACGCAAAGGGCGCGTATATGGGCTTTGTGTTTTGTAGAATCTCATTAGAAAAAAAAAAAATTCAAGGTAAAAATAAAACCGAATAAATGTGTTTTCTCTTGGCCACATATTACTATACTAAATAAATCTGCCGCATGGTGTGCACATTGTGAAAAATGTTGTTATATTATTATTATTATATTGCTTCCGAATAAAACCGGCTGGATGCAATTACTTAAAAATAATATAATATCTACCTATACCAACTATCTAGTCACGAACCATTTGCGAGATAATAATGTTTAAAGTTCAACTACTACCATATTTGCGTGCTGAACAATAATCCCCAATGGATACTTGTTCATGCAAACTCGAATCGCCGCGATAAATGTTAGTTTTAGGGCAATAGCCGTGAATAATAAAAAATCGAATCCGTAAAATGGTTTCTAAAGTTTTGTCAGTAAAATAATTTGAATGCAAATTGCAAACGCTATAAAAGCCATACCTATCTAGGTGTATTTAAAATAAAATTGTAACAACAGAGTATACGCGTACCAAATAATATTGTTGAATTATGATCAGAATATACAACATGCAATTTTAATGATAAACAAGATATATTTTTAGTACTTCAATATTATATTATATGTATTTATTTCGTAATAATATATATTGTCTTATATACTTAATGTTGTCAAATAAAGTAAAATAATATTATCTATATTATAAGGTTTCTGTTATCTGCAAGACTGTAAATAATTGATCATATGATTAGTTTTCATTATTTAATCATTATCAGCATTTTGTATTCCTATTCGTTAGTTAGTTTGTCTCACAATGATTTGAGGATTCGGTAATTCGGTATAATTATTATAAAACCTTTATATCTTCCATATAATATCTATGGTTTACTTATTAATATTGGTCTATGAGTTGTTCGTATTGACACGTCATGTAATTTGGAACTTTAAGGTTAATTATTGTTTGATTTTGGTTCACTATTTAATATTATAAAAAGCGAATCATTTTTTAAGTAAAAATATACAATAATAAAGAGTATGCATTATGTAGGTATTCATTGCCATTTGGCTTTCACCTATAAATTGGGTATTTTATTAATACATACCTACCTACCTATTTTTATGTTCCAAACATTTTTGTCACCTGAAATAATATTTCAATTTTATATAATATAAATATTTACACTAATTTAATGACTTTAACTGTTTGATATACAATTTTTATAGACATTTGCAGTTATTATAATTTTTCAAATGAAAGTATCAAACTAATTAAGAATGTTTAGTCTAATGAATTTCAAGAGGGTGAGCTGACACTTAATCAGAAAGTTTATTACCTTTTAATTTAATAGAAAGAGTGTAGTTTTATATTGATCATCGTGCATGTTCCACCTTTTATACATTTATAATAATATGTAAGGAACGTTAACGAATATCCACTTGTCCATTAAAATAATATATTTTCTTTATTACGTTTTAAATTACGTAAAAAAAAACAAATATTTGGACGTAGGTATATTATTATGTTTTTTGTTACAATTACTAAATATAAAAATTAAACAATCATAATTCAAGAACTGTTACCCATAATTTGATTGGTTCTTGAATGAATAATGTATAAAGCTTATCCATTGATTTTAAAGAATGTATTAAATTAATAATTTTTATTTGTGGTTACCTAATGGTGTTTATTGAACCACCACATTTGTAGGTAGGTAATTGGCATGTTGTCTTCTACAGTTACATATTTGTTTACATTATCATTTTATTAATACTGTATTTTAAATTTTAATCAATAAAGTACCTTCAACTTTCAATAATTTATTATTGGATAAGAACTACTAAGATAAAAAATATAATTGTACGTTGTTGTTTAAGCAGTAAACCAAACTTAACCTATAACAATGTTAGCTGTAGTATTTACTGTGTTAAAAAAAAGGAAAAAAAGTTGACTCTAATAAATAACGTCTGTCCCATTTTAATGTAATAATGTCTATATTTTGATATGCAAATTATATAGTGGAGGTGATATTGATGGAGATTATCGTAATATGTGCACTGTTAAAATTTTATCGATATGTTATTATAATATATTCGATGGATGTTTTAATTTACCTCTAAATAACACCACATATCAATAAAAGGTTTTGAACTAACCTATAACCATACGATGGAGGTAGTCTGACAAAATAATCGATTTACGCAGTGTTTTAATCACATCAGCATTGTAGCTACTCGCTATTACTTTACTTGCCTCCGTTGACGTGATGGGAAAAGTTTTAAAACGACTTCATTAAAGAAAAACCAGGATGGGAATTCAGGCACTCGGACTTTGTTGCAATCTATATTCCTTGCGTAGGCTTTATTTAAATTAACTTGTGGATAATCGTTTGCCAGAATAAAATTCTCCACGAGACTCTAAGCTCTTCGCAAAATAACTCGCAGTTTTAATTATTTCCAAAGAGAGTATAATCTCTCAGTTTTAATTATAAGTTGAAAAAGTTTGGCATGGTCTACATCACAAATCGAGCAAACAGTTCTTATCGAGTATCCGTTCCCAAATAGTTTGGATTATGGCCAACGAAAAAAAAAACGGCTAATTAATTAAATCATTAAGCATAATAATATTATCAATTAAAAATAAAATTATGAAAATCGCATTGTAGTTTAATTGAAAAACCTACGTCAGTGCATCGACAGTAAATACTAATTATCTATCGTCCTGCAAGTTTTAAAAGGTGAACTTTGAAAATACCAAGATATTTTTAATTTTTTTAATTATTTAGGAAAACGAATTAATACGGTGGAATTGAGTAATTAATACATGGCAAATGTATGATAACAGAAACATATCATGTATATTATATTATAAACTAATAATGTAGTGGTCTTACTTACCTCATATTAGGTACATCATAATATTATGTTTGTAACACTATCATGACTAAGTCGTCAGTCACTAAATATAAAAGACGACGTGATTATCTGTAAGCCTACTAACTTATCAAGCCCCTGAACTTCAGCATCACATTATCTTCATACTTTCACTACTAAATATCACTTTATCTACATTTTTACCGTTTATACCTTCAATATTTTTTGCATTTTATTTAAATATTTTAAACTAGTTTAATTTATATAATAGTTATGAGATTTTTTTTAAACATTAAACTAATTTCATTAATTGTGATTTCTAATGGTTTACAGCTTTGTAAAGCTGACTTCTTAATAAAAAAAATATAAAATAAACTTACAATTAAATTTAAGTCTGTAACATCGATTATATTAAGATAGTTCACTCTTATACTCTTCAATATACATAATATCTCATTCTTTAGAAGGTGGTACCTATAAGTATAAAATAATATAAACATCGAAACTATTTCTACTTAGTAAAATACGCTAATAAGTAATCACTTACATTTATGAGTTAAATTATCACAATATAAAATAATTTTCTGAATCTAACTTAAATAACAATTTCATTTTTAAAATATTTTTAGATACTTCAGGTATATTCAAATTCCAGGGCTCTATAAATATTGAAAATTTAAAGTCAAATGTCAAGTTTATTTTTTTTTTCAATGTTTTTTTGACCGTTATTTTAATTTTGTTTGAAATCATTTAAACAGTAATAATATACAACCTGAGAAAAGACTTACTGGAGGTAGCCTAAATTATTATGCATAGCAGGAGTGCAACCCCAATGATAAAGACGCAAAACTTTGGTAATTATAATTGCCAATTAAGAGTCGAGAGAGTGTCATTAAATTATTACAAATTATACATACCAAATAATACATTCTTAGTAGAATTAAATTTAAATGTAAATAATATTAGTGTAGATAATATTTTAACATAAATTATAAATAAACTCGGATATTGTTTTCATTTACTTACTTAAGTTTTCTTATTTACAAAAATACTATGTTATTATTTTATAAAATAACAATTTAAATTGAAAATTAATAATTATTTCATGCACTTTCTTGTATTAATTAGAAATTCTAGTAACCTAAACAATTTTTCATTTATATTTATTCATATTTTAAGACTCTATACTACGAATACTTATGAATTGAGTTCGTTAATTGTACAGTGAAAATGGATTTTTGTGTGTTACAGATTGAACCATTATGTGTTTGGGCTTCAACCTGTGTGGTTTCACGTGGTCAACGTTATACTTCATGGCCTTTGTAGCGTTTTGTTTGCCCGCCTGTGCATTTCAGTTGCCGGATTAGAACATAAATATGGACTTTTGGCCGGAATTGTTTTCGCTGTCCATCCGATCCACACAGAAGCGGTAAGTTAACAAAACATAAAAGGGTTCAAGTAGATAACCGCTCTACTGTACTACAGTAGTATAGGTATCGAAAACCCCTCGTAATTGAGGACTAAGTCACTGTAATGTATGTGTTCGATTTTAATACAATGATAAAACATTTCAATATTATGTAAAATGTATTGTAAAACGATTCTAAGTGATGACCATTAGGTATTCTATTATACTAAGTATATTTTATGATATCTTTTTATTGCTGTTTAAGTAATTTATATTACTATTAGTAATACTGCAATAAGTTAAATTCAATTTAGCTGAAAATTATACATTTTAAAATTACACTATATGCATGTATAAAATATTATAATAATATAGGTACGTTAAAAGTTTCAAGTACCTACCCACGAATAATATTTTTATTAAAAGAAAATAACTACCTACGTAAAATCGTAATTCTTCGTTTAAATATTTAATTTCGTCCAAATTTGAGCTTAAAATGTCAACAATAAAACGGTGTTCACGTATTATTTTCAGATTCTGAGTGGCGTGATGAATGTATTGATTTTACAAAGATGTGGTTTTTAATATATTTTTTACTTTTGAGTCCTTCGTCACTTTTGGCCAGTAAAAATGCTTTAATTTTCCACTTTAAGGGTGGTTGTTTCTAGTAGAAAATTGGTTCTAGTTGGAACATATTGGAGGGTTAAAAGTAACAAATTCCCAGTACTTTTCAAAATAACCAGGAACCACGAACATTTTTAAACAAAACAAGTACTGGAGAGGTATTGTTTTTTTGGTTATTTGTCATATATTTTTTATACATGATCAAATATTGAATATTTTGAATCTTTTTAAACTATTTACAGACATCAAAAATTTTAAATTTGTATTAGTTTTTTTTCTTATAAATATTGCTCAAACAATTTTAAACGGGTTAAAAATCTTTGATTTATATTACAAGGTTCCTTTTAAGTTGGTATTTAAACATTTTTTTACTTTTTATTTTACCGTTTTTTATCCTTTTAATTATGTTTAGTTGAAATACATATCACTTTGTTTGTTGACTCTGGCAACAGAATTCAATGTAAATAATTAACAATTTAAAATATCAGAAGTAATAGGGTAGAAAGGTTGTTTAAAAAAAAAAAAATAAGACGAAAATAATACATTTATAATAGGGAGGCGAAGGGTTGAAGATTTATGTCCCATGAATGGAACGGGTTCATGGAATCCTGAATCTGTTTATTTCTTTATATCTACAGCTATCTCATCGTTTAAACATTTACGGATTTATCGTTATTTCAAGTACATTATAAGGGAGCAACACTCAACAGTGTTCGAAAATGTTCACATTCACTTTAATGTTATTAGGTTTGCAAATTATGTGGCGGTGGTGTAAAGAAAACAACAAATTTGGTCAGGGAGCTTGTATAACAAAAAAAATAAATAATAATAATGATAAAAAAAAATCTACCTAAAAAGTGTTTCAAATGATATACAACCGACTTCTGGGATGCTTGGCCGACTTTTTGATACCTTTTTTTATTGCGTCCTTGTATAAAAAAAGCAATGAATGGCCAAAAGTTTCAAGCCGAAAACCCTCGGTTAGCCAACTCCTTTTTTTTTATCACTAATGTTCAAGGATCTTTGACGATGCGTGAAAACTTTTTCTTGCCTCTTGTATATTATAATATACGTCATGAATAATTGTTTATTTTCTCACCCTAGCTATTATATATTTCATAACTTTTATTTTCTGTTGATTCCAGTTTACATGACTGATTAATTATTATGCTACCTTATAAAAATAATAATAGAGTTAATATTGAGTACCTATATCATTTATTTTTATATATTTATCGAGACGCAAAATTACTGTCGTTTACTTATTTTATTTTTTAAGACCAATTTGAAATATTCCACAAAAAAAACTTAATATTTTGCATTTAATAAAAAAGAAAACAATAATCAAAATGATTTAAGCGCATATTAAGTTTAAATAGTTATTAGTAATGGGTAGGTACGTCACTCTATTCGTTTTATATTTCTCACTCTTATGCATAATATTATTGTCGGTAATATGATGTGAGATGCAATGTGACTACAACTTAATAGGTACTTACGTCATCTCGAGCGTATTATACGAGTGTTTTGTTAGATAATTATGAATAAGGTAATAATTTTATTGTGTCACAACTCACTGGTAGTAAATGTATTAGCTTTATATAAACACATAATATTATTTAGTGGATGATGGGGTTTTAAACACAATTATATTATGCTACTACGCGGTTGTTATATTGATCGATGGTCGACAGTAAGTTTTTCCGACAAAATTTAATATACGGGTCCACTCTGCACAGGCGGTGGTGGTGGCCCTCCAGCTATATCAGAGATTTCAGTGCCACGTGGTATTTTGTCGCCCGGAAAAACTGTCGATGGGAACTTGGCTTAATGTGTTACGACGTGTGCGGATTTCCGGGGCAGTAACTCTTTGTGTGTAATATAATGGCCAAAGTCACCGGCATCTCCATGCGAAGCTTTTACGCGTGTATAGTCCCCAGGGGTGATTTTAATTAAAAGTTGTCGTCGCCATCGTCGACGTTAGATTATTTTGAACGTACGATGTTGGCGGAGCCGGCGAACAAACACAGCACATGAAATAATCGACGACGTAGGTAGACGAAATTTCGGTGAAATGATAATAGTGTATATATATATATAGGTACCTTTCTATACGTTGTCGCAGTACGACCATACCGGCACCGTGGTCGAGGTATATGCAAGTGTATATATATAGACATATTATATAGAGCTGTAATAATGGTGCCCCGGAGACGTTTACCGTTTTAATTGCGCAAGCTCGTGCCATTCCGTCTTTCCAATCACGTGTGTGTGTCGCGGTGAAAATGACTTTCCTTTTTTCCGCCGATTTCATTTTCGTCGTCTCGGACTCTAGACGAATTTTCTGCAATTCTGTGTAATTTCCCTCGACGGTCAAAGGTCTGGACGATATGTACGTGCGGTGGTGGCGGAGTGTGCTTCGAATCGCATTTAATCTCGTTACACCATTGTGGTCACGCTCCTCTATCGTCGACGAATAGTAGCGCACTTTTGGAGACAAGGGCACGTGGTTCGGTTAGGTTAGCTTTACCTTCCTCGAGCACAAAGTTCCGTAGTCTTCGTGTCTCTCACGTACACATAGTGTAATATTATTACGCGTAGGTATGTACTTAACGCGTCACACTTTACATGTTAAATGGCCGGTGTACGAGAAAATTATATTAGACAATAATTTATTTAGTTATTAAATATTAAGGCCAATAGACCCAGACCCGATCACCAGGAGAGACGGTCAGAATTTTAGGGAGAACAGCTGACGATGTTAAAAATAAATAATAATGGCTATTTTATATTTATATTATATCAAACACAATTTCCATAATATATGACTGAGCAATAATTTAGTATGAATAAATAAATATTGTCTATATATTTATATAAAAGACAAAAAATGTTTGCGACTGACTGTGTCCTTTATGCATTCCTAAACCGTTCATCCGATTGCGATGAAATTTGGTTCAGAGATAGATTAGACCTCGTGGAAAAAGATAGGCCAATAAAAGGTAAATAAGAGGTCCAACCCCCGAGAAGGTCTCAAACAGGAATTTTGAGATAATTATTATAATTATTATTTTTTTTTTTTTGTAAATGGTTGCTCTTGGTTTTATTTAGTTTTAATAATAATAGTTATTATTATTAATGCAAAAAGTCTGACTATTTTAGTACAGAACTGAACCACGGTTTCTGTGGACCAAATTTTTGATACTTTAGAGTTAAATTATGCACTTTTATAAGCACCATGTGGGGTCCGCGATCTACCACAGGTAGATTGCCTACCTGATAATATACTGCTTGCATAATCACAAAAACCTAGCAATAGCAACGCATTGTTGTGTGTGCTAGTATAGTATAATAAATTAAGATTATTATGCATTCAGTTGTTAATAAAGGTAAAATTACCTACCTCGATAAAAACTTATAATAAGGAGCCTTCGACACGTAATTTTATTTTATTTTTAAGGGGTTCGGTGGCGGACAGTTATTTTACCCAAAACATACACCATTCCATCGTACTGATCGACCTTGTAATGAGATAATCGTTTTTAAAATTGATTTTAATTCATTATTATTTATTATACTTGAGTTCGAATTTTGAAAAAATTGGATATTTCATCGGAAAATAACTATTTTTGTTATTTTTGTTGTAATTGAGAAATATTATTTGTAGGGATTAGAAACTTTTCGTCACTGCATGATATTATACAAAATGAAAAAAAAACCATAGCACGTTACTTATAATTTTTCCTCCACAAGAAAAATCTATGAATCATAATATATATGTTTATGTTAATATTAGCCAAATAAGTATAAATGTATTACCATGACCACAAAAACCTTACGAAATATCTGTCAGAAATAAAATTCCTTTCATCCGACTTATAACATATTTATAATATTATGAGGCTGACAATTTGTTATTTTAGCCAAAACATATCAATGTTTCTTCCATCATACTGTTTGGCCTAGTAATGCGATAATACTTTTAAAACTGATTTGGATTCGTAATATTATACTAATGGAGATCTGTCAGTCCACTTTTCTCAATTTATACCCACTCCCCCCACACACACAACAATTATATATTTAGTTTGAATATTTTGAAATTTCGGATTATTATCATTGAATAATCGGAATTTAAATCAGAAATCTTAAAATGTGGACTGACCGATATAAAGTAGACAGTATAACAATTTCAGATCAGTTATCTGAAATATTATCACATTATTAGGTCGATTGGTATAGGATGGAACAAAAGTACATACAATTGAGGATAAATCGTTTACCTTTTATTTTACACACAGTGATACACAATCAACACTAATGATCACTAGGACATTTACAAGACCCGTATGCAAGCAATTTGAAAATTGCCTATTTCGAACTCTTTAAAAACTATGTCCACCACCGATCCCCCTAATATTCCATACATATTATGTTATTACGTTATACATTTGGTTATGTTACGTGTTTAATTATTTGGTATATACATTTAATATTCAAAATGCCCCTTGAATGTCAAACAGTTATATAGAGGATAAAGTGCGCAAATATTTTATAAATACATATACCTACTACGAGTGCTCAAGCGATGAGCGAAATGTGCACCAGGTTCGTCTAAACTTAAAAGTTTAAACTAGTATTAGTTAAAAAATTATTTGTCCAATATTACTCGTATATTACTATATAGATAGTATAATAATTCTCCTAAATAAAGTTAATTAAAAAATATCGACAGACTATATTCGGCACGCGTCTTCTCCAACACTACAATGACGTTTTCCCTATAGATTATTAGTTTCGATATTTTCGTTTTCGTTTACCTCGAGATCAACGACCAAATTATAATTTAAGAACATACGCATTACGGTGCTTACGACAATATTATTGCACATGACATGCAACCAGACGAATTCGTTCAAAGGGACTTAACCTTTTGGTTATTCTTTTTGTTATTCAATAGTGTAGGTACACGCGTTCTACATATTATTTAAGTACCGCAACCCATATTTAACCATCGATCTGCACCGGCAAACTACAAGTTTTTTATATGCGATGTTTTGACATTTTTACGTGCAAAAATATATTGTTTTTGCACGTAAAAATGCGTTATGGTAAAATCGATATTTTAAACTTTTCCCTTGCTAAAATCATAAACATTAGAATTACGTAAAATGTATTAAACAGTAATAATAATAACTCGTGAAAATATTTTATTAGTACAAAACGCTATATAAAAAATATACATTAATTCGTTTTACATAAATTGCATATTATAGAATATTATTTAAGGTTTTGATTAAGAGTTACCTCTAATATATTGTTTAGTTAGTGAATATTAGGTTAGATTAGGATATTTTGCACAAGACGTGTCTCATTGGTTTAAAAATGTTTCAGGTGACGGGAATCGTCGGAAGAGCAGATGTATTGGCGTGTCTATTTTTTCTATTATCATTTTTAACGTATCACGAGTAAGTATTATACTTCGAAATTTAATTATTATAATTAATTGATAGGTTTTATTTCTTAATAATTGAACATGCAATATACAGTATGTCAGTATACACATTATACACATAATATACTGCACTTGTAAGTTAGTTTTAATTAAAATATGTTTACTTTCAAAATGTAAATTAACTATTAATTTTAGATTTCTATATTATAAGAACTGGGTTTTGTTTTAATCCAAAATGTATTATCTGCAAAAATATTAATTGGATGTCCATTATTTTATTGTTAAACTCAATATATGGAACCATTTTAGCTTTTTAATATTTTTCGAAATTATATTTTTAATTTAATATTTTGGAGAATCTGACCATTTTTGATGTTCTAATTATAAAATATTGTATTCGAATATTTGTCTATAAGTTGGGTTGACTATCGAAATTGTTATGTAACCCTCTACATTGAAAATAGTCTACATCTACCTAATAGGAATAATTTAGATTGTTATGCAATTAAAATAAAAACTGAAAATTATTTGCGTATAATAAACATTTTGAATACTGTTAATTTGAATGATCAAAATTAAATAATTGTTGAGAAAAAATATACGATTAAATAAATTAAAGATATGTAATAGCACATAATTTTGAATCACGATCGAAAATCATGTAAAAGTATACTTAAACATATAAAAAACATAATTCATATAACAAATTGAATGTATTAATTTATTTTGTTTATTAAAATAAGTATTAAAACAGAAAATAATAAGTTATTATTAATCCAGATATATAACGACGACGAGCAATCGTCGTTTTTTTAAATTTTCGAATCTATTATACTACATTTTTTTGTATCGTCTCAACAATTAAATAGGAACATATACTACAAGTTTGTAAGTGTGTTCATCGTTTTAGATTCTGATTAGAGATAAATAATGCATTGAATTTAAACTGATGTTTTTTTGTGGCTAATAACAATTTTATAAAATAAAAAATGCTCTGATATCCAACTTAAGCATTTTTTCTGGTAGTAAAGTGAATCTAGTCGTTAGTTTGGAGAGTCAAAAGTAAAGTAATTCCTAGAACATTTCTCAATAAATAATCATATGGAAAAACAGAAATTTTTTCACAAAGCCAGTTCTCAACAAAATCCAATAATATCTTGTAATTCATGAACAAATCATCTCAGATGATTGAAATTTTTACCACATTTTTATATTAGGATATTTTATATAAGAACATATAATTTAAACAATATTAATTGTACTCTTTTATTTATATATATTTGCCATTCCAAATTTTAGATTAAGCGTATCGATTAATAAATTGTTTTTACCTATGTGTTTTTATTTTCTAAAACTTTGGAAAAAAAACCAAAAAAAAATTAAAGGATATGGAATTTTTAAACAAACCAATTTTTGAAAACAATTTTATTTTTTTTGTGTAACTCTAAAACAAAAACCGTAGGTACTTGAAACCACCAAATATTCATATTAGCATTTTCCATACATGGTATTTTTTTAAATATTTTGAGTCTTTCTGAGATATTTATAGACTATAACCATGAGAAAATTTTTAAAAAAAATACCTTCAATAAAAATTGTTTCACTTGGTAAAAACTTGAACATTTTATGCAAGGTTTATCTTAAGTTTTTTTTCTATAGCAGTTCAAATTTTGATAAAACTCATCAAAATCCCCAAAAAAGTTTCTCCTTTCTATTGGCCTGATCCTCGTCACTTCGCACTACTACCGCTGCCTGCACTGCCGGCGCTGGCACAACCACGTCATCTTCAATCTCCCCCAACCACTCCAGTTCTAGAATCATCGTCCAGTTAAGGGAGTGAAGACACGTCGTGGTTTTGCCAGCGCTGGCAGTTCAGGCCCCGGTAGTAGTGCGAAGTGACGAGGAGGAGGACGTCAAGCCGGCCAGGACCCGGGAGGGAGCAACGCCGTTAATACCCACAACTCCAAGTGGACGGACGAAAAGAATAAATATATTGTCTCCACCTCGTGGAGATGTATTCGAAGGACCGTACGCGTATTGTGCACACATAATAGCTGTACCGTCCGCGAAATGAGTACCATAAAACAAAAGCCCTGCCAAGTCGTCGCATCCCGGTCAAAGTTGTCTATGTTGTGTAATCTTGTTCCCATCTCTTCGTATGCGATATTGTTGAGATAATTTTGTCTCTGATGTCCTCGGCGATAGTTTCGATTTGGCCGTCGGTTTCGTTATTAAGATGATATCTCACCTCAGTCAATTCCTATATATATTCCTGGATAGTGGGCGTTGCCACGTAGGTAGTCAGAATATTGCAAATGAGCCGATACCAAATTTCGTCCTAAGACGTTGCCGATAATTTAAAATACAACATCGTTTATCACTAGACAGCGAGTACGCCATCATATTATTAATCGGCCAGCATCAGCTGAATTTCGGGACCGTTTATTTTTCCAAACACCATTATTATTATTATTATTATTATTATTATTGATACGCCAACTTCACTTACGCAGGAGTTTTGTATTGTATTATAATATTTTAATGATGATTCAAATATAGATTTTCATTATGACGTACTGTTGCGCTCGTTTTATACTTGTATAATATAGGTTAAGATCAATGTATTGCGATTTTACAATTAGGTATTAAAAAACACCTAAAAAGGTCAGAAAGGTTAAAAATTGTATATGAGGTTCATTGTAAGTTTTTTATAGCTAAATAAAAAATATTAAACATAATAATATATAAACACGTTTTTTGATAAGTACTTACTTGAACTTTGTAGTCTAAATCACGAAGATTTTAAAATTATTCAACATATTCTATAAAATATTAAATTTGTAAAGCTAATAATCAAAAACGATATGAAAGCTTTTCATAAGTAGATAATACTGGATTCAAAAAGTCTAAAAAATATTTGAACACAATTTTGAGTATCGAAATTTAAATTTCAAATTTGGATGAAAGTACTTACCTATGAACAAGAAGAATAATCAAGAATAATCAAAGTTATTTTGTTTTAATTCAAAAATATCTTTAGGAATTTGAACTTTTAATATATTATGTATATTATTATTTTATACACACAATGGAATAATTTGTAAATGCAATGTTTGGGCAAAAATTAATTCAACCAAAATTAAAACTAATTGTAAAATAAATTATTTTAATAGCAATAAGTATACTAAGTAATATATATATTATTAGAGTAATATATTATTTTGTAATAAGACTGTCCAGAATCGAATTTTGCATACAATGATTTATCATTGAATTCAAATTAACAATTGCATTACAGTGACTTACTCAATGATGCACTCGACACCTACAGTAACTGTATAGCAGAGCAGTATATTGTTTTTTTTTTTATTATTAGGTACAATGAAATCTGTTCCCTATAAAATAACATAGTATTATAGTATATTATACTGTATATTTTTAGCTATATTTATGTGTGCAATACAAATATTTACATTTCACATAAATGTTGAGAAGCGCTTAACGTTATCAAAAAATAAAACTTTTTTTCATAATATTATGCAAACTATTAAAATAAAAAAAATATATAAAATTCATAATATTATAAGTATTATCTAACATCTTACCGTTGATACTAGTTAAAATATTATGGTGCATAAATTATCGGTAACCGGTGACAAAACCGTGGAATATAGTAAAAATAATAAAAGACTAAGTATTGATAAATTGTTAGAACAATATTATGTAAAATGTTAATATTAATAAGTACGAAAGGATGACCAAAATTAAAAAACATATAATGCCTTTAAACAATTCGTTTTTGATCACATAACAATATTGTCGGTTTTGATTTTTATTATGCGTCTGAGGTCATAATATTAGTCTATATCGGCTCTCAGAAATTACAGACATTATCGGAGTGTCCGACTTATCTGCCGACGATGGAGGCGAAAACGGTATAAAACAAAACTTCCACCCTGACAAATTTACTGCGTGCAACGAGCTTACATTTTGGGTTTTTGATTAATCTATTCGAATTGAACGAAAGTGAGATAATATTATATTATAACGATGATGACTGACCGCCGCCGTAGCCGGTAAATCGATCACTAGATTTTTTTTTCCTGTGCAAGGCCAAACACTTCTTTTCATTATTTAATTATTATTATTATTATATTTTTTTATAATTGAAGAGCGCCACGAGTGCAGTACCTGCAGTACGGTTTTTTAAATTTTTTTTTTCACCTCGGTAGCCGTCCCTTCTCGTCCGTCGTATGATTAAGCATGAATGATAGCCCTCCGGTGCAGGAATTAGCAGCTGTGCGCAAAGTGCCAGTAAATTGTCCAGCATTTATTTAAGCCTCGCGCGCGTGGAATACATACAGCGTATATATATAACCCTGGGTGCTTGGGTGTGGGTATAGGTGTGGGTGTGGGCATGGGTGTGTGTGTGTGTAAAACGAGTATTTTTAACGGGCGTGTCGTCGCCGTGAGAGGTACACCAGGTGCGGCGGAGTTCTGTGCCCGACGATCGTTTGTCATCGCACGCGGTCGGCAGATTAGACGCGACGGTGGCGAAGCGGAGGAGGCGTTTTAAACGCACAGACGTGTAATCATTAGTGTCCACACTCTACTCCGTCCTATAGTATAGTTCTACTGCACGGGAATAATCGAGTTGCACCCGTTTTCGAGTCCACACCAGGTCACAAGAATGTGATGATGATTTCCGATTTTAAAATCGGCCAATGTCATACTTATGTATAGCCGGCATTTTTTTTTCGTCGTGTGTACCCGATATCAGCTATAGTATGGTAATCGGTCGCAAAGGTCTCGTCGTCCTCTCTCTGCACTTGACCCTTAACAAAACGCGGTGTATTTCCCAGCAATCATATTATTCTATGACGTACGAAATTATATTATTGTCGAATCCCTGCAATACGATTTTTTGAGCAAAACATTAATTTCCGATTCCTATTGTTTAAAATAAAGATGCTAACGTTCCGATCTCTAGGCCTAGTTTCGGTGTTATCCTGAAGGTGACAATATTATTGTAATTTTTATTGATTTAAATGCACTGCATATTAGTATATAGGGTAATTTTTAAGGATTTCAACGACCGTCTATATAGTGTCAATAACAATAATATATTAATGATGTTTTAATCAGATAACCGATAACCTCAACTTGTGCATGTAATAACGATGTGTAGACAGTGTAACGCCTGAACAGAAGACCTTTTACCAGAAAATATCGTCTTTTTTTCTAATAAGATACGATAGTATGACCAAGAGTTCAAGCCAAACATGGGGCATTATCATGATATTTATAAACGATCATAATGTTAAATAACTTACTATCGAATTTCTCTACGAGTTACATATCATTTTTGCAGTCTTTACATTTTATATTTTACCGCCAAGTGGTTAAGTATGATTTTGTTTTCATTCGACACTTCATGCAATGGAAGTTTAAAAACCTCTATAACTAACAGGGAAACTCGTGAATTTTGTCCGTAAATGATGGGTTCTCCGTGTAGGTACATACTCGACATTTGACAAATAAATTGTAATTTATGAGTATATATAAATACTTACTTATAGTCGGTTATACAAGTTAAGTATATTATAAAACCTTTACCCCCGAGTCGTTTGTAAATAATAATATCAGTGCTTCCGTGTTTAATGATATTATACATTGTACATAATATAATAACATAAAAGTGGTTAAAATGGAAATCGTACGATTGAGCAAATGTAACAAATCCAGCCAAAAATGTCTGTTTCGAAATGAAACATTGTATAATGACCACCGAACCAAAAAACCAGTAGTATTGAGCACGAAATTCAGTGCAACGTTGTCATCAGTGGTGAACCTGTATTTTGAAAGTTCAACTCTTATATTCTTTATTGTATTATAGCAGTCATTATTTTTTTTTTTAACGACTTTTTTATATATTACCTAGTAAATTTCCCACAAAAATTAACCACTTGGTAATGTTTCAAGTGCGCCGTTTTCAAAATCAAAATGTGTGTTTTTAATTAATACAGCTTTAAACATAGTTATTGGCACAAGTTCTAAATAATTTCACATGCCCATGTAAGTTTGTTTTGTATTATTTTCCAAGAAAAAGTAACTATTGTAATACAATATCCATGTTGATAATAATGTTTAATATGGTGGTATGCATATTTTGTAAGAAGTTATTTAGTGTATATCAAAAGCGTTGTCCTCAAAAACAGTTGTGAAATTTACCAAGAAATTTACATTTTATTTATTCGTAGTGCAAAATATTAAATTCACTTTCTCTTGTACATAAATAAATTGTTGATCTCTATATTTTAACAACATCATCAATTTTTCATTTTTTCGAGTATAGCATCAATAAGGGTCTCTGAAAATGTCTTGTATAGTTTTCTTTTTTTGTAATAAATTGATTTTCGTACAGATTTGAAATCTTTATGTTGCAGAACTGAAGTGTTAATGTCTTTCATGAGTTCTGTACGAATAATTGTTATTGATCTGATCGAAATTGATTCCAAAGCTGTGTCTTATAATTTCCCCGTAAGACCTGACGTTCAAATTTTGAAGTGGTTATCGTATACAACGACAGTGCTCACCAAAGCTTTTTTAGAAATGTGATTGTCACCTTCTGCTTTCAAAAAACTCACTGTGCATTAATTTTTGGTGCCCCTCCACTGCTTGTGATTATCTATCTTTCCTCTGTATAAACGGTATTTGCGGGAGTTGAAGCAACTAAATTCCCACTGAGTTCATCGGAAATAAGTCTCAGTATTTATCCATTTAATCAAAATATATAAACGTAAAATGTCTCGTATAAAATAACGGTCAATAAAATAATTAAGAAAATGAGAGGAGGGGGGGGGGCAAAACGAACGAAACACCACATTCAATGAGTAGGTACCTATATATTTCGAGTATTCATCGCAAGCAATATTCATTGTCGTACATACGGTTTATCATTATTCATTAACACTGGACTCAGTAATATTCAATCTCAAACAACAATATGATAAGATTTGAAGTTGAGGTTACCTAACCTAATCAGTGTTAATGATAATATATAATATTTTGGCAAAGTTGAGTGGAATTTTAAAAACTCATCGCCCTTAATTGTAAGTGTCAAAAATATCTGGAAAAGGTCTCGACCATAAGGATGACCATTCTCAACCCACCGTATTTCCACAGTTAAAATCAAAATTAATTAAGTACCTATATATGCACTTTGACTAGGGTCTAGGAAACCTCATCAGAAGAATTATAGCATCACAATATTCACAATGTGTCTTATTGTTATATAAAAAAAATTATAAGTACCTACCTTCCTATATCCGTAACCCAATGATGACATTCGGCGATAAAATATGATATGAATTCGAGAGTTAAATGGTTGTGGTCTGTACACATTGGAGAGACAATACGATTGATAAACAAATCACCATTGATCGTATATGATTATTCACAACCAGTTCTTATATTATAAATCTATGCTTAGTATAATTTGAACACAGTGATGAAATTATGTATACACTATACATATTACATATATAATATTATATTTGTCATGGAAAAAAATAGTAGTTGATAATCGCTTTGGAGGACATTCGAGTCGAAATTTAACCTTTTTGATTTATTATAGTGTCTGTTAGATATCGTCGAGGACGAAAAATAATCGATAAGCATGACCCACTGTGATATTTTATTTATAAACATGACAATATTGATTGTGCATTTTTTATAGTCACTTATTTGTAAATGAAATTGTACCTACACTACATGGTATTATTAATTATGTTACGCTTGTACTTATAATATTGTCTAATCGATACAATTTCAAACCAATATAAATAATTCAATATTTTGATATCACTATTTCACTTATATTGATCAGCTTAAAAATCCATACATGCTTAGGTAATGAATATTAATAATTTAGTTTTTGATTTTTGTTTTAAAGCGATCCGGACTGAAAGTTGATTATTTTTTAAATATTTATATGAATACATATTTTATATACATTTTTGATACAAATGTCATTTTTCAAAATTAGATCTGTTAAAAAATGAGTTATAAAAAGTAGATACCAAGGGGGATAAAAACATTGTGATATTGCATAACATTCGATATTCACTTTCCTTTAACATTTTTCAAGAGTATTTTAGTTTCTATTCAGTATAAACCACAATGTTAAAAGTTTAAAAAAGGGACAATAAATAACTGTTATCTGCAAAAATTATATTTTAATTTGTTACAAGATTTAATAAATGTAATATTATAATTTATAACTAAAAGAAAATGTAACCTCTTATTTTTCTCGCTTTTGATTTAACTATTTACCAACCTATTTTTGAAAAAATGCGTCAAAGAACAGAATGTAATATAATTAATTAGTCGGTAGTTATCACAAATTGATACATTTCAATTAAACTAATTATTTTATTTCTACCAAATGTATCCAAACAAGACTTAGATAATATTATAAAATAAATGTTATTTTTAGGAGATAGATTTGTTTTTTAGCTAAAAATGTAATATACTTTATATATATATATATATATATATGGTGTTTTTAATTAAGTATGTATAAGTATATTTTAAGTAATCTTAAATCATCTCGTTTATACGTTTTTAGTTAAAATATTCCAAAACCGTAATTTACAAAATAAGATCTAAATAAATTGCATAGGTATTTACCTAAAAAAATAAATGTAGATTATCGTGAAAAAAATATTTATAAGTATTTGTATTATTTGTTTTGTACTTATCACTTAAATCCACAAAATCTATTATACTAGATATACGTATTTATTATTTATGTCTTATAATTTATTTTATTTTCTATCACAGCACACGATGGAAACGCAGAGAACGGGTGTTGCTTAGCTGTACATTTGGAGCGTTATCAATGTTGGCCAAGGAAACCGGGCTAATGGTCCTTTTAGTAAATCTGGCTTACGACATATATTCTTCGTGGGGCCATATTAAAAAGTAAGAAAACCAAAATATTTTGTAGGCACATAGAAATAAAAATCATTTTAGCTTATTAACAATATTGATATAACATAGAATGTGAAAAAATCTTTTCACGTTTAAAGATATAGCTCTACTTAAATGTATAGTTATTATCTGTTATTAACTTGCAAATTCCCAAAAATAACTAACCGTCATTATACTATAGACACAGTGTGTAGACATAAATAGTAATTTAAATCACTGATTAAATGGATGTACATTTTGTTTTTTTTTATGAAATTACATTTAAAGCAATGTATATCTATTGTTAGTATAATCTTCATTGTTTTGTTTATTTAGTTGTACGTTGTTAAAGTATCTTATTTTAATTTTAAATTGTATTTATGATGTTTTTAAATTACATTCAGATGTTCTATAACTCCTTAGTATAATATTATAGTAGTTAATTAATAAACAAAATAGGTATTGCATTTTTTATTTAATTTTAGAAAATTATTTTTAAAATATTTTTTAAAAATAGTTATTATTTTGTATTAGTTTAGTATGTATTAATCAATACAATAAGTCGATGATTACAAAATATGTAATTGTATTTTTAGACCGAAAATTGATATTTTAAATTATTTAAACAACTAAAACAATATTTGATTTGTAGGTCATTGGTGGAACACAAACAGACTGAGGAATATAATTCATTCACAAGAAGGGTTCCAAAAACTATAGCAGCGGTACGTTATTTATTACATTTCTAAAATATGGTTTTACATATTATATTTTTTTAGTTGATTAAACATTAGATATAATACATCATATTATTATTTAAAATAATTAATTTTAATTGAATTTAATTTTAATTAATAAATTGTACATTTAACTGGTAAATTTAATTCAAAGGATATCAAATATTATATTATTATAATATTACCTACATAATTTTGTACAATTTCAGAAGTTGTACAGAGATTTTTTTTTTTTATCCCATATAGACTTGTGTTTAATAAATAACATGATAGTGTGGTTCATGATGATTCCTTCTATTGTATTTGTAATTATACTTATTACAATTTTTCATTATTTATTTAAACATCTATCTTCAAAATTCTTAATTCATAATAAATGATCTTTATAACTTGAAAATTCCTTTATCGAAAGCTGAAATTGACATAACGCATTTACATTTTATAGCATTTTTTTTATGACATTAAGATTCTTGAGGAACAAAAATTATTATTTTTTTTTGTTTTTTTCATCACTTTAATACTCTTATGCACTATTTACTAAATGTAACTACCTCTAATGTTGTATTCAAATATGGCAATTACAAAACCCAAGACCACTTGTCATCACTCACTAAAGATTAATTCCGTTTAAATAAAAGTTGTGTAGTGTATATTCACATGTACTTACTGTAAACTTTGCAGACAGTTGCACTGTTAACGTTTCGACTGTACATGCTTCAAGGCAGTTTACCGAAATTTACTGAGCCGGACAATCCTGCAGCGTTCCATGACAGCTCAAGAGTCAGGTAAATACTATTTAGCAATAAGTAATAACATTCTATATATAAACTACATTTATTAGTTTTAACGTTTCTCATTTTAATACATTTACCTTAACATGAAGAAATAGCGGAACGAACTTGAGCCATAAAATATAAATACAAATAGATTTAAAAACTTATTAAAAGTTTTGTTTAATGTTGTATAAACGATTACTTCTTTTGGCATAATTTAAACATAATCAATAAAATATTTATTTAAAAAAATGTAGGCAAAATAAAGTTACATTATGATACGTATTTTTTTTATTTCTGTCCAAAATATTACGAAAATGATAACATTCATTTAAATTCAAATAATATTATATTCAGTTCTGTAAATTATTTAAATTATTTCATTAAAAAACGTTCTATTATTTATTATTTACATACATATTTTAAAGTGTTTAAATACAAAAAATAAAATAAATTTAAATATACAATTATTGTTAAATTAATAATTTCTCCATATTGTATACTTAGAACTGAATCTATTTTTTAAAACTATTTTGGTTTTTCAATGATTCAATAGTTTTATAATTTGATATAATGTTTTTGAAACATAAATGATGATTAATTTAGTGAACAAATCATAACATAACAATAATTATTCAACAAAATTACATTTAAAAACATTGATAATATTATCATGTATGATCAATGAAATATTATTATCAATATTTAAATATAGAATGCGGCTTTGTTTGATTTGCATTAGCTATAACATAATTAATAAATAATTAATTGTATAACTATTAGCTTGCACGAGAAATATAAAAGTATAAACTATATGATTGAATGTGTTTGACGTACAGCCCTCTAATTGAATACCCAATCCTGATAATTAAAATTATATTTCCTTTATCTATTCATGTATTCAAATACAATATACATAAATATAGTAAACATGAATAGAGAACAAAAAAATAACAAATATACATTTTAAAACTCGACTAAATTCATAAAAATTATATTAATGATATATGTGAGAATTGTGTCAGTAAATAAATAATACACATTTATATTAAAATATTAAAATTATTTTTGAAATGCTCAAGTGACCTGCAATATATTAAATATAATGACATATACCGTTTTACTTCTTGATTAGATATTATTATAAATTATAATATATTATGATTATACATATTGTTTTCCAATAAAAAATATTTTTCCTAAATAAGTTGAATATACTAAAAAATTATTCATTAACACAGTACCCAGAGCAATCTCACAACCATAGAGTGAATTAGAATTTTAAAAAAATCTTGTAGACGATTAACCATGTTTTAGTATACCTATAATAATAAATTATCTATAATATTATATATTGAAATTCCATTAATGAAAGGAGCTGTGGGTTACATGAACTTTCGTAGCTTAATACTATTCGAGAAGAATTAAATAAATAACTGTAAAATAACAAATGAAAGAAAAATGTTTACCTCTTTGTCCTAACCTAACCAGCTATTCTCGGAAAACTAATGCGACAGTGCATTGCAGTCTTGCAGATATAATTAATGTGACAGACACTCGAACTATCAAGTGTTTAGGGATGATGGTGTTTAGTGGGTGAGATGAGATCGAGTAGGGCGCTATATTTTTAAAGTGGATCCATTTCGTAACCTCTCCTAACGCAAGAGGGTCGTTAAGAAAAAAAAAATATATATGACGTTTACAGATCAATATTATATATTATTATGTGACGAAAAAAATAAGTGTAGGTACTAAAAATAAAAATGTTCTCTGGCTGGTTGTATATTGTATAAATATTGTTTCTGTTAACTACAACTAATTAATGGGCCAAAGGTAATTGTTTAGCAATGATTGGCGGTGAGGTAGGCCACTACCGAGGATTTCGGTCCATTGAATGGTTTCGGTAGTAGAACTATGCAAGGACCACAGCATCCCTTTGGCCCGGTCCCATTATATGGCTCCCTGTCGAATAATTTATTGTGTATCTTATACGAGAACAACCCCTATGCGCATTCAAAGCAGTTAATATTAAATTCTGTTGTGGACGATGAGAGTAATGTATAAGAGGGGTGCGCTTTTGCCGCCACCAGGTTTTGGAATGTTCAAAATGGACATATTTCAGAAGCCATTTATACAGAGAAATTCCGCCGACCGATAAATTTAACAAGGGGGTAAGCTACAGTACCCGGGGTTATCATTGTCCGGTATCATGGGCATTGGGAATTCCAAAGGGTTATTTGTTGGCCAGTGTTTGATACACTGGTAAATTTACCTCTCAAAAATAAGTGTATGTTACTGAATCTCGGAAACACCTTGATATTCTGTTACATATTTTGTGGTACCTAATATTTTTTATTTCATTGGACTGAAAATTATATTTTTCCAATTCTTCTATTTAATTCATGTGAATTAATAATTTAAACAAACTGTATTTTATATGTACCTATCATGGTATTGGGTATACAATTTAATTATATTATAATATATTGTATTATATTTAGACATTTATTTTTGGACATTAATATTTTAGATATTTGAAATAAAAAAAGTTAATCATTTTTTTTCAATAACTGAATAATGTGTATCATAATAATATAATAAATTATAGTATTATATTTTATTATAACAAATAATTTAGGTTTATATTTTTTATTGCTGGTAATATTTTATGGTAACATTTGTTATTATTGTATATTTTGTGTAAATTTTGTGGTTTACGCTCTTTTCAAATTGTATCAATTAATAATAAAATAATAAATTAACATATAATATTGTATTGTACTTGAACAAAATCAAATATACCGATTTAAAAGGTATTTTATATGAACATTTATTTATTGTTACAAAAACACGTTTATTCCGATCACTTTAAAAAATAAATAAAAATTCTTAAATTTGGTTATAGTCTGCAGATGTACATTTCTTTGAACAGTTTGAAGCATTAGCTGTGAAACTGCATTATTAATATTATATTCCATTGCAATTTCTAATTATTATATTGACGTACATGCTTTTAATATTATCTATAAAGTAAAGCCATATTCCTTACAAAAAATAAATCTATTTAGCTATAGTCATTATAATAATATACCTAGTAATATAGTATAGTGTAGTACACATTTTTAATGAGTAATTGTAGTTACAAGTATAAAACTACCTATTCATTATAAGATAAATTATTGTGCTATTGTGGGTGTAAAATTACCCAATCGACCACATTTCTTAAAGGATAAGTAAAAACTGTTCGTTTTTAATTTGAATTTATTTATTTTCTTTATATTTATATCAACAGAACATGTAGACGTTTTTTTTTTACTGCTATTTTAGTGTTTATTATTTATTCAACCCTTTTTTTTATAACAAATACCAGTGGTTTGTAGAAATTAGGTGCGTGGGTCCCATTCAGTGGTTAGTTTCTCATGATAAACCTTTCCATTCAACGCTTAGTTTTAGTTTTAAGTAATTTAAATTAAAATATTTAATACATAATATAGGACTGGGCAATTCGCAGAAACTTAACTTGGCGGGAATCTCAGGATTGCCCAGGATTGTCAAACGATTTCCGGTGGATAATGACTTTTTAATATTTAATTTTTTTTTATCATAGTGTTTACTTCAAACCATTAAGTATTGGATATTTTACATAAAAATATAAATAATATATAATTTACTTATAATCGGAAAACAAAAAATTTTAATTTTCTTTTATAACAGTTTAATCTTTAAATTTATACAAATGAACAATAAAATTAAGAAATTATGCCATTGAATCAAATAATGAAAGGTGTACCATGATGTATATGAAGTAATAAACTTAAGGTGGTAATATAAAACGAGGGATGTTTCAAAATGTAGGGCTTAAATATTGATAACTGTTAGATTTTAACAACCATGTGGTAACTACTTATCACAGCAGTTAAACCACATAATGTAATAACAGTTGTTCTGTGGCTATACAGTATCATAGAAATGAAATACACAAGGCTGTAAGAAGAGACCAACTCAAATCAACAATAAAAGTTACATTGTATAATATTGGAACGATTCCAGTTTACTTGATATCATATTGACCAATATTTATTTTGCACCATTGTTGTATTAAAATAAATAACAATATAAAATAAACAAATATCTAAAGTGTAATAACATTATATGACATAAAATTATAAATTATCTACCCATGATTACACAAAAAAAAAAATAATTATACAAATATACGTTTTAATATTTTTTTTTTATTATTCCCTGGAATGGTTACCCGTTCCCGTAACCCTCTGGGAATTTTCGATGGTACCAAACCTAAATACAGAAATATTTATAAAAAATCATCTCAATAAATAATAATATGCACGTACATATTATTATTATTTTGCCAGCTTATAAACGTAATGATTAGTTGAAAAGTTTATTATGTGTTTTATAAAAATAAACGTAATAATTACGATCCTAAGTATAATTTAAACAAATAAATTACAGTAAAAATTACTCTATACATGTTAAATACAATTAATATTAATTATTAAAATTAAAATTATATTAATGTCGTGTTTTATGATTTATCGTATAATATTTAATGGGTTAAGGTGTGTTTCATAGAAATACTATATACCTAAATATGTATTCTAATAAGCAGTAGGGTACGCATGGGGGTTTGGGAATTCAAAAAACTTCAAATCCCTTTCCTCTTGGTATTTTTTTACTATAATATTATGACGTGTATATGGATAAAAATTAATAAAATTTAAAAACTATTTTGATATATTACGTTTTTACGTATATTACGTTTTTATATTACATATAATTTTTTTATTATCTTACTTAAATCGTACTTAAAATGGTTTTTAGACTTATATTCGGATTTCATATGTTTTGAACTATGCTTTTTAAGAATATTACAACAATCATTCAACAAACTAATTTTATAATGTTTATCCCAACGTGTTTCAATTATATATTTAATGTAACCTTTTAGGTATAAAAATTTTGAATAGTGACAGCCATAGATTCTGAGA